TTTTTAAAAAGTCCTTTTTTAAATGTTCATTAACTAAACTCATTAAGGAAACCAATTCTAAGGCAGAGGATAAAAATCCTTCTGGTTTGAGATATAAAGCTGTTTAAACTGAATTCTTCTTACTTCACAAATGATCATCAAATCCATTAAATATTTTAATTACATACAGTTTATCATGATATAATTTTGTTTTATTAATTGTGTTTAGATCCTAGGACCTTGTAGTTGGAGATTTAAGGTACAATTTTATGAATTGAAGAACCACCGTTCCATCATTTATATCTAAGCAACTGCTGTGATTTAGGATGCTTAGAAAAAGCTTACTGCTACTTAATTGTAATGCTTAGGATATTCCTAATCTGAAGAAAGGCAAAATATATTTATTGGCCCTATTGCTCCATCTCAGCAGCAAGTAGTTATTGTACAGTAAATAATATTAATTACTTGGATTAATAAATAATATGAATATGCCAAAAAGAGGACCCAAGGCTGTGATTCTGGCAGCAGCTAACTATTCAACAATAAACTTCACTTCTAAAAAGACATTGAACCTGCTTTTGTATTTGTCCTTAGCAAGATGACCAAACTAATCTTTCGCTTTGGTGATTAAACATCTGTCAGTAACATGAGACAGACAGAAATAAGATATTTCAGAAAATACAGGAGAATATCGAGAAATATCAGCTCGTTTTTCATCACTTGGTTATATCAAGAGCTGACCTTACTGGATTATCTACCAGGAGTCTAATACAATTATCATATTCTTGCCAGTCTAAGAAAACTGTCTCAATGCATCACTATGGATTCCATTCCAAAGGAAACATTGTGTATGACTGTTGGAAAACAACACATTACAGTTAGAACATGAACAAGATGTTCAAATGCATGATGTACAATCAGATTTAAGCCAGTGGGATCTCCAGAATGAAAATTCTTCTGACTTTGGATCTGAATTACATGCCTCTGTCTCAACATAATGTACAGTTTAATTTTCTAGATGTGTAATTTAAGACATAACCAGGAATGTGTAACTCAGAGCTTCACCTCCATTCATTTTTTAATTTGCTGAATCAAATATACTGATTTTTGAACTTACAAAATTTCTTCCTATTCATGGAAAAATGTTCTTGTTCTAGACGAGATTTCCTAGTAGCTCTTTACAATCAAAGCTGTTGTGACTAAGATTCAGGACAAGAAACGGAACCATCTGCCCAGAAGATTGCATGCCTTTATTTTGGACACAGAGTTACCAAATGTGGTACACATGGCTGTCACTTTTAGATTAGACTATCACTACTTAATGGTACCCTCCAGCACTGCACACATTAAGTTCGTGAACTGAATCTCACAGGGAAGAGACTTACGAGCTTGTCATTATAGCACCCAACAGTGGTGCTTTTTTTAACTCCAGCTGGAGTTAAAGGTGATGTGTTTTATCAAAGGATTAGACTAACTTCAAACAAGCCTAGCAGAGACATCACAGAATATGGGTCAGTTGCAGTGACCCTCTATACCCTCTATACTTGCATAAATAGAGGACATACATAAAAGTTAATAGTTGTGGGGTTTTTTGACAGTGTGTTATTATATGCAGTTTGGTATGGTCTGCTCTTTGCAGGATCACATCCTCCTTTATTCCTAAAAAGATTTCACTGCCCAGTTTGTCATATCCAAAATACTTCTATTTATAAAGACAGGTTAGCAAGTAATTTGGTTGCACATTAGCTTGCAATAAGATTAGCTCTAATAAAAAGAAATTAAAAATGGCTATAATCAAGTGCTGTTTGTTAAAGCTGACATCAAAACTATGTCATTCTTCTCAGGAAGGCAAAAAAAATAACACAGCAAGGATTTTATAACCCTTTGTATTTATAAAACACCTCAGTGTTACAGTAGTAACTAGACCAAGACATATTTTTGCAGTAAAAGACAACACATGTAAGTACTTCCCATATATTTTATTGAACAAATAGTAAACTGAAGGCAATTGATTCTTGATTTATCTTTTAACTAAGGCAATTCCCCCGTTAACTAACATCATTTCTGTGAAGGGGCAAGAACACTCCTCTCTTCACTGGAACCTTAAGCAGCTAGGGAATAGGCATCACCAAAAGTGTGAGGCAAGAACAGTGGCAGGAAAGCAACTGCCAAGGTTTGCACAGACATAAAATAATGCCTCTTTGCATTTCAGGGAAGAACATTTAATTCTGTGTATACCAGTCTGACCACATCCTTATAGATAGATACACCACAGATGCAAGCATGTACGTGTAATATTTGACAGTTAACACACAGAATGATTTGTGTTGTGGTTATTATCGCTAAGGGGCAAATGCATTTCTCCCCCTTGTGTTTATAAAAACAGTACTTTTAGCACTGCAAGTAACAAACACAGAACTCAGAGTGAATGCAGATGTCTTTCCAGCTCTTCAGGAAGTCAGTTTTAACATATGACCGCACCAAATTTCATTAATTTCACTGTGCTGGTATTTCCTTGGTTGCAAAAGATAATATTAGACTTAAACAAGGCAAACCAATAAAATAAATGCATAAAAAGAGAAAAAGCTGAGAAATAAAACTGGATGAGCAGTGACGAGCAGTGACGTGTTGGATATCCAAGCCTCTTTAGTGTCCTGTGAGAGGTGGGAGAAAGGAGATGGACTGATGAAGAACTGCCCGCCTCAGCTGCTGGGGGCTCCAAGAGAAGAGGAGAGAAAGAAAATCAAATTCCACCCCAAATATGTCACGAGCTAGTAAACAAAATTTTATAGGAGAAATGGGGCCTCAAACAAGGCCCAGGGCCACCCTGATAGAAATTCTGGTGCCGTCCCCTTTTTAGAAGTTGAGGATAGCAAAGGAGGAGGGGTAGGATAAGGGAAGGAAAGTGGGTTTCTTATCTGGACAGTGCAGGTGAAGTCCACCGCACTCTTGGAAAATAGAGAGAAACAAATTTGAAAAACAAGACCCATTTACGTCTTCAGGGGAGGAGTAGGGTAGACTGCACAACAGTAGATAACACACCTAATCATTTCAACATCACTGCGATCCACCAGCACCCAGTTTTTCAGGAAAAGTATATCCATACAGAAAAGATTGAACAGAAGGACCAGGAAGGAAAGACAGTAGTTGCACAAACAGTATTCCAAACTCCAAGTAATGACATAAATGAAGCATACTCCCACAGGCATCAGTATATGCAAACATATAGCTTTCCCTTTTTACTAGCATCGTGTTTTATTTCTCTGTATATTTTAACAGACAATATAAGTTATTCTATTTACTTTATCAGAGCTGAGTCTCCAATTTACAAAAAGCACTTTCATTTCTACTTGCATGACTTGTGAGCCAGTCTGCACACGGGAGCAGCGTTTGCATGAGTTAAAATGCAAACCAGAGGAAAGTCTTTAAGTCTGCTGATGAGCACATCTTGGGACTTCAAAGACCGACACAATTAAGGAAACCATGAAACAACTAAAATCCAAAAGCATCTCCTCTTGGGTGCACAGTAACACATTCAAATGACCGATTCCATGACCTAGTATTTCCCACCGTACAGCAGCAGCAGAATGCAGCCAAAGACAGAAGGCACGGCTGATAGATCAGCGTAACTGTCTAACAATTTGCAGATATGTGCATTCAACTATTCAACTAGACGAGCAAATGAAACCCTTACAGGGAACGAGACAGACCAATTTTCTAACTCGGAGCCAACCCCCCCGACCCGAGGCTGGCGGGCGATGCCGCACGCATCAAACACCTCTCTCAGCAGCCAGGCTTGCATCATTCCGAGACAAAAATCTGCTCGGTCTCACGTTGCAAAGCCTCGACACGATTTCCGCTAATTCAGCTTTCTCCTGGGCTCGGGAGCTGCCCAGCGCAGCTGCGGGCGCTGCACTCGGGGCTGCCCC